ATTTCAGTTAGTATAAATTGCTTACATTTATGTGTATCAAAGAAAAGTATACATTTCAAGTTCTTTTAAAAGCAACTTGTACAAGTCAACCTGGTCTAAAATTATGCAACTTTGAAACCAATTTCGAAACTAGAGAAAAAAAAAATTGTACGTGCTCTTGGGGTTAGTTACGGCTTTTCTTCACTGACTTAACGAGAGATTTCTTTGCCTGGAAACAGGTTGATGATAATACTCAACAACTTGAGCTAGGTACTTTACTTAAATATAGTTATACACTGGTTAAAATAGAACTCAGAAGTCATTCACTGTTTCCTTTAAGAAGGAAAACAATAAGTTGAACAAGTTCAAAAATAGCAAACAGTGATTTTTAACAGATAGTGTATAAGATTCCAACGCTTTTTTTTTGCGTATCGCTGGAAATCGGGCTGAAAATTTTATTGGTATTGAAAGAAATAACAGTATGCTATAGTAAGATGAAATATTACATAATAATAATAATATCTAGAATGCCATATCTATTATACAACCTTCTCACTGGAAACTCGTACTGGACCAGTAAAGAACGATGATGTGACTTCAACTATTATTAGTCTTATTATGATGTAACATAACACACGTTACTACTGAATGTCGTGCTTTGCCTTCTAGAGTGTGTTACAAACTGAAACATAACAGTATACTTCACTGCATGTTTTGGTTCCCCTGTTTTATTGTTTATTTTTGTTAAAAATTGTAATGCAAATGTTCAGTATTGTGGCATAAACACTATAGTATAAATTAGTGTAAAAAACAACCTTGTAACCATTAATTTCATCCTTGACCATTCCTGAAATATTATTGCGTTAATATTCATTATGCTGGAAACTCTGTTGGTATAAGCATTACATAATTTACGTTATAGAGGCTTGGAACTATAAGGGATGATTAGTTAATCAGTCTTATTATTTTTATTAATTTTTGGGTGCATTCAGGTTTCACCAGTAACTTTGTGGAATATTTAGATTATAGCTTTTCACCATTGCAAAAGGCCAGAGAGAAGAAAAGACACCGTATGGCTTGCCACTTTATATTTTTAGACAGATGTATTACTGTAGTCACCATGCCGATATAGCGAAACTAAACACTACATGTAAAGATATTAAATAGACGTGCACTACCGTTTAATACGAAGCCAGATGTCCAGTTCAGGTTGTACTTTTACTCAGTGTTACTGAACACAAACAGAATCGTTTACAGGAAACAAAAAAATAATGGTGGGTATTTTTTTAAATGAATTTATGACATGACACATTGTTCTTTTAAAAAAACGCGAAATTTTGGGAAGCAAAATTTAAATATAGAAAGATGGTATTCTTTAAGCTTATAAAAGAATTATATAGATAAAAATAAGTTCTTCAGAACAATCTACTTTTACGCAGTTTTATTTAATTAAGAATACATTTCAGTAGTGCGTGGAATTTATTATTTACAGACAAGCTGAAGTATCTCTTTCTTGACAAAGGAAGCATATTTTGCTAATATAATAATAGGTAGCCGAACAACGATTTATAGGAAAAGTTTTATTGATGATGGAATATATATATAAGATGCTTCGACGGAACACTGGTCTGTCTTCTTCAGATATGATGAGTAAGAATAAGAAAACTTGGCAGTTATTTCGGTATGAAGTCTTCCAGGATAAACCTCGGAAGACTACCGGGGGCGCTCAGAAACATCAACTTCTCTTGGCCCCACTCTTGATGAAGATGAGGGGCTATAGTTTGAAGTTTATGATTCGGCATTCCCGAACTTTTTGGTGATGTTACTGCATCTCTTCTCGACTACCCAACGGCCATTATTGGACTTATGGTCCTTCAAGGCGGCGGAGGGTCTAAAAATCCAATTTCTAGGCTTTTTGTGGAGGGAAACAGGAGCACCCGAGAAAACACACATTCACTGGTCAGGCGCCTAATAATCTACCTGACCAGTGCCCGATTACACATGGATGATATTGTAGCAAACTGGTGAAGAAGAAGGAACGGGTAATCAGCAAGGCGAAGGAAATTCATCTTGTTGAAGAGGGACTGAAGGAGGAGGGTTGTCTTAAGAATGGTCTGTCGTGGGGTGTATCTTCGTCGTCACTGGTTGAGGGGCAGCTGAAAAAATAGAACTGGGTATGAGGCTCGTCAGATTGTTTGTTCGAAGGGAGTGTCTATCAATAAAGCATATGGTGAATTGGATGACCAGTGTTCGGCGGACTGTTCTGAAGAGAAGGACGGGAAGTGACGGAGTCGTTCAAGGGAGTTTATCAGTTGAATTTAGTCTTCCGATGGCGGCTGGGCCTGTGTAACTTTTTTCCTTTTGGGCTGTTTGGTCTTGCTGGTTTGACTGACTGATGTAATTGAATCTGTCGTCGTAGCAGTATGACCAGTACTAAGCAATACAAGGTTTATATATATCGTTACAAAGACAAAAGACACAGGGATTAAATGTTACAGAAATGGTGTCAGGATATAAGTAGAAGTCAAGACTGGTCAAGTGTATGAACGATGAATAGACCTTGCTAAATACGGCTGATGTTGCTAGGGCTATGATCACGGTTTAGTGAGAGATAGTTTGCTTTGATTATTTCTGTAGTTTCTAAGCAGTCTTTCTTTTTTTACTTTTGGACTGGTGTTGGAGAAGAATTTTCATCTCAAAGTATTTTGTGACCCGTTTCGTATTTTATGAGAAGGTTTGAATACAGTTTTCACATCAATATTCAAATTATTTAAAAAAAGACTAGTAATTTCGTTAGCAATTTCTGGCACAAAAGGGAATGAAACAAATTTGTTATGCTTTTTGTTGTTAATAAGTGAAAGGTTAGAGTTAAAATTATATTTTTCACTATTTTGAAGTTTTATACAAGCCCTATCTATGATATTCGGGTTGAAACCTCTAGATAGTGCTAAGTTCTTTAGGTAGTTCAATTCAATAAGTAAGTCTTCTTTGTAGGTGCAAAGTTGTACGGCACGATTTATGTAGGTAATCTATCTGTTGTTATCAGTATAAATTTGAATCTATGCCATATAGTTCATAACAATAATAAGTAAAATATCTGATATACGTAGAAAATGTTTTGCGGGAGTAAATCCGAATTATCTCATTCTAATTGAATTGTGAAAAGAAACAATGAACACAACTAAATCACAGTGAAAATCATGTTAATTTATCTCACAAACACAATCAAAGTAAGTGTATTTACTTATGACAGTGTCTTTACTAGAGGTTGAAAGCTCTCAATGACGACGATGAAAAGCTGTCTGAAGAATTGAAAAATATGTTCCACAATGAGAAGATATAGCATTATATGCCCAAAACATAACATCATTCTACTTTGGGCGCGTGCGCTATCTACGTCACTGTTGGTCATTCCCGTTGACAAATAAGGGAGATCATATCTTTAAGGTGTCACCTGATCAGTCGGTGAAAAAGCACTGTCTATATTCGCTTAATACACCTAACTTTACAAAAAATCTTTCCCATGAGAAGACGCATGTGATACCATAGGCGAATAACCTAGAACAAGTAGGTAACTAGGGTGTAAGGAACTTAGCCACTTTCTTAGGGAACTTTCTACTGTTAAAACTACACGTATTAATTTTTGAAAAAAGTTGTGTAAATTTTAAAGTTAAATAAAGGAGGTTAAATACATGAGTATGGAGTTGATTACGACTGTAATTTTGTAGCTCTCTGACTTAATGTAAATATATTATCGATGCTATAAAACACTTTTTTGTTATTACTGACCAAAGTTACTAACATCGCGATATTAAAATTTCTAATAACCAGTTGATTTGGAAATATTTGATTTATTGAAGGAAATAAATATTAAATGTTGGGTCGACAGGTTTGTACTTCTAACCCGGCAGTAAAATAAAGTATTGTTGCGTCATCGAGTCACATGACTACTGTGACGCAACGTTTCTAGAACTATCATGTACTTTGGGGGACACCAATTTTTTACGTCTCCGTTTGTTAATTGATTTTTCCGTAACTTTGTTTCGACGAAATTTTAACGACA